CACTCAAAGACGTGTAATGAGCCTCTTTGTCCACCAGATGGCATTGTAACTTCATTGTAGTTCACCCCTTCAAATTGCTTTCACTTTTGACTTGCTTCCACTTTTTTCTTTTCCTATGCTGTTTGCCAGCTACAGCTGTGTGGTAAGGCACAGGCATGGAGTGGGTGGGGGGCTCCAGGCTGTAGGGGGCAGCACTGGACCGTTCCACTGTCCTGTGACGCTGGCCAGGGACCAGAGTTAAATAGTTTGAAAACCTGGTGCGTACAAACACTGATGTGACGCTCCAGAATAAACAAGTTTACATTTTATAAACCTATTTAATTTTTAATGAGGATTAAAACACATGGTATGTGTAGGTGCCGAAGCATTTTATTAGAATACTTTCAACTGGATTAGAAAGAGTCTAGCTGTTCTATGCTTGCTGATTCCAGCACTAGTATAGAACCCCTGTCTCTTGCTCCATTTTATCCTTCTTGACTTGTTACTGCATCATTACCTTCTGTGTTCCAGGAACTGATCAGATCTAGCTGGAAGCTTCAGTGCCTACCTGTCTAGTTTTTCCTGAAAACAGTGAAAGCTCTTATTTCCCTGATCCATTCCTGATGGGTATCTTCCTAGGCCTTCTGGAGTTGACATTTGGCATACCAATCCCCCAACTTTTCTTTTCCCTTTAGTATCTGTATGGCTCACTGCACTCCATCCTGCCAACATTAGCATTTTCACTGTCTGTCTGTCTCTGCCTAAACCATGGTTTGCCAGTTGTCATGCTTGTTCCTAATACAATAAAACATCCTCCTATTGCATCAGTACATTTCATAATACCTCCTATACCTATGTTTGTTCTCTGTCTCTGCAGTTTTATAGTTGTTTATCATATATTATATATAGTTTAAATATAGTTTATATGTTCTAAATATATATCTATATATTTAAGATCACGATACATGTATTGTCAAACAAATGCTAAACTGAGCATGGTCAGGCCACTTACTGGGGCCCTTTGCCTTGTTAATTACCTGATTCCTGTCTTGATTTTATTTTTTATTTTTATTAAGGGTTTGAGACTATATGAGTAAATGAGGCTATATGAGAATTGATAGTCACCTAATATAGGAGGTATTTAGCTCGTGGTTTTGAGGGAAAGCTTGTAAATGTGTAAGTCTGCCCCATATATGCATAGGAAGCAAATAAAAAGAAGCCAGCATTTATTTCTTATGATTTTGAAAGGCTTGATTCATGATTTTTTTTTTTTTAAATTTGGACATATTAACCAGATTGACTAGCAGCCATGGAAGGGAGGTACCAAAGAGGGGTAGTTAACCATATTAATCTGAAGGTAGGAAAAAGGCAGGGGAGATTTGCACTCCTTTAGATTAGGAACAGATGTTGTAGTTCCTGTGTTATTTTTGTTCCAGGACATCTCAGGATTTGTGTGAACACACAGCTCCCTTCTAATTGGGGTTTAGTTGAATGGCTGAATGCAGTGCTGCTTTTCTGTCATTGATTTAGTAATGCAGTCCTGGGATAGCTATGTAGACATGCTTTATAATATCTCGGCATAAATTGTTTCTACCTCATCTGAAAAATATTTTTAGGATTTATCCAGAACAACAGACACTGACATCCTTAAAATGGCACTTTTTTCCAGGATTAAATGGTTTGTTCTAAGATAAATGTGAAATGTATTTATAGCCGTGCGCTAACTAAATCAGATGTTTAAGCTTACGTAAGTAGCAGCTTACTTAATTAGATGCTATGGAGGAACTGTAGGAAGCAGTATGGAAAAGGAAGGATAGAAAGCAGTGTTTAGAATACTAAGGGTAGGGAAAAGGAAGGATAATGGAGGAGGCACTGCTGGGAGAGACTAGGTGGGCAGAAACTGCTTACCCCACTGAGGGACATGGGGTTATCAAAACTAATCCAGGTAATGGGATAAGAATCCATAGTCTTGGGATAAGAATCCATAGGCCACAATTGATACAGTCCAGTCCGTAGATGATTGCTAGTTCTGTAGTTTCCATTTCAAGTTGGCTTTTAAAATTTCTTTATCTAAGAACAGCCACTCTGAGGTCAGTGACGGAATGTCTAGGGAGGTTAAAGTGTTCTGCCACTGGCTTGTGTGTCTTTCTGGAATTGATTTGAAACCAGTGGTCATTCATTCTCTTGTAGGAATTGCCCCATCTGTGCAACGTAGATAGCCAAGGGGCACTGTAAACAGGTGATGGCATGTGATGTTTGTAGAGTGCAAATGACTTTCAGATGTTTGTTGACTGGGGAGGCCCCAGGACAAGCCTTAAAGTTCCTACAAGGAGCTCTTGTGAGGTTGTACAGTGCAAGGGAAGATGTGATGACAGCATGAGCAGACTTATGAGGGGAAAAAGGATCAATGAAGACGCATGCTACTCTACTGAAGTCTCTTGTTACCTAATATGTCCCTTTAAATTCGTTCGTCTTCTGGGGAAAATAGAATCCAAATTGTTGTGAAAAGCTAAAACCATGAAGTCTGACTTTGTCAAGTCATATTATAGTGAAATTTGATTTTTTACTTTGAAGGTAGCTGAGAGGCAGTTTTTTAAATTACTTTGCGTGTGTGTTGGTTGTCTGAAATGGTGGAAGATATGAAACCGTCTTTCTCTTTTTACTTTGAAAGAAATAGAATCATAGAAAGTTAGGGTTGGAAGGGAACTGAGGAGGTCATCTATTCCAACCGTCTTCTCAAACCAGGACCATCCCCAACTGGATCATCCCAGTCAAACCTTTGTCTTGCCAAGTTTTAAAAACCTCCAAGGTTGGAGCATATACCTCTCTCTGGGTAACCTGTTCCAGTGTTTTTAGTACCCTCCTAGTAAGAAAATGTA